GCCTTCTGGACCTCTTGCTCTGACAAGTTCTTGAAGAAGTCGAGTCCGCACTCTCCCTGCAAAAGTTGTTTTTGTTGTAAGAGCGAAGCCAATGAGCACCGTGAACGGCTAGCTCAGCGTAGAGTACCCAGGCCACGGTGCGCGGGTGGCTCATGGCCTGTTCGATTTCCTTCTCCAGCGCGTCGTCGTACTGCGATGCCGAGTGTGGATGCACACCGTACGTCATGTACACTCGCGAGGCAAACGAACCAGCTTCACTAGCTGCATCAAGAGACAATCAGCACACGTACTAGTGCTATCTCACCATCACACTCACACCCACACGCACACATGCGCGCGCGCGCGCACACACACACAAGCGTACTCGAGGCCAGGTCGGCTAGCCGGTGCGTGGGTTGGTAACCTCCGGGAAAGCAGCACACGTGCACGCACGCCTCCAATTGCATACGCGGCACTGCCACGGGTGGTGCTGGCGCCGCCTTCCCCCCACGGCCTTTGCCTGTGTGATATTTATGATTATCATTTGAGTTATATTTAAAATAAAAATATTTGAAAAAAATAATATCAATGGTGGTGTAGGAAACCTTTTTGTGCTGTGTAGAGGTCTCGTACTACCTCTTCCGTCCAATTGGCGTCAAAGAAATCGATGAAATCTTTCTGTGTTTTGCCGGATTGGTTGTCAGTTAGCCGGTCCAGCACCATGTCCAGGTGTGCATGCGAATCGATAAAGTACAGCTGCTCACTTCCGTCTCCTTCCATTTGAGGTCAAGATATTGTCTTCTCGGCCAGGTTTCGTTGTGTCGTGTAAATAATGATATTTATATTTATGCGAATTGTATCTTGGAAAATTGTCTGGGCGCCTCTTGGGCGACATACCAATCATTCCAGACACATCAGGACGGCACCCAGATCCAGCCGCTCAGCGCCTGGACTTCTTGCTCTCGTCTCCCTCGAAAGATGCCTTGGCCTCCTCGAAAGCTGCCTTGTCCTCCGCGAAAGCTGTCTTGTCCTCCGCGAAAGCTGTCTTGTCCTCCGCGAAAGCTGTCTTGTCCTCCTCGAAAGCTGCCTTGTCCTCCGCGAAAGCTGCCTTGGCTGCCTCGAAAGTGATCTTCTCTTCGGCGAGCTTCGCCTTCTCTGCCTCGAGAGCCTGCTTCTCGGCCTCCAGCTTGGCCTTTTCATCGTCGAGCACCTTTTTCTCGTGGTCGAACGCGGTCCTGGAGTCCTGGACCTGCTTCTTCACGTCCTCCATGTCGGCACGGTCCTTCTCGAGCTTGAGCGCCTGTTGGTTGTTGGCCTCGTGCTTCTCCTTGATCAACTTGTCGAACTCCTTACGCTCGGCCTGCAGCGCCTCCCGGTCGGTGGCCAGCGCCACCCGATCTTGTTCCACCGCAGCGCGCTCCGCGTCGATCACCTCCAGCGTGAGCCGGCGCTGGGTGAGCTCGTTGCCCGCCCAGCTCCACCCGTAGACCGCCAGGCCCAAGATGAGAGCCGTCATGACGATGATGGACACGAATCGGGAACATCCTCCGCTACGCTGTGATCCGGCTGCCATGATCGATCTTCCTCGACAGATGAATCAAGGATTGGTCAGACGCAATCTATCAGATTATGAACAGATGTGGTTGCATTTTGCATCTTTCTACGGAGAGGCCATCTAAAAGGCAGCAGCAAGCCGCAAGCGATCTCAACAGATAGGGAGAAGAGAGTACCTTTGGACTGGTAACTTGGAGGAGCGCTTGAGGCTGTCGTTCTTAACAAGAGAAGAAAAAGGGACTGGTGAAAAACCCAAAAGGGAAACTAGAACTTGGACGTGGGTCAGCTGGCGGTTTGGGAGTGGTATCGAGCAATGCCTCTGCCGCAAGACCCATCAAGGTGCCCAAAGATGCGAACAAGAGGGGCAACAAGAGGGGCTTGCTCCGGTCGTGCAGCCTGACCTGCGCTTCGTTATTTTTAAATTATTTTTTAAATTATGCAATTTTATTGCGGGGGGGGGGGGCGGAGACTTGGGGTTGTTCCTCTTCGCCGGCGCTTCGGCCCTTCTTTGTTCTTTCGCTACGCCTATCGCCCACACACTCCTTCGGCCTCTCGCTGTTCCTCGGCGCCACACTGGCAATCAAATGGCGCTGTGCGTACACACCTTCCGCGAAGGCGTTTTGAGCGACCTGTAGGCAGCGAAGCCAAGGCACATGCATCTGCAAAGAAATGGTACGCAGATCACATCTTGCTGCTTTGTCTCGGCCACTGCGCTAAGGATTACACTTTACCGCTATCAGCCGCCTTTGGCGGTGTATGTAGACTAACATTTTGCCGAAATGAAGCACCCCATTTTCATCGTGTTGTGCTACCTGCGTGAAGAATTCACTGACGCTCTTGCCAATTCCACAGATTTCCCCCATGCAGCACTGATAATCTGACCGCAACTCCGCCGCGAGATAATGAGATCAGCACTTCAATCGCATGGTACTGCTCATCCCCCGGAGGGTGCCCCTCATCGCCCTCTCTTTCGTCACCAACAAGAGCACGCAGCGACTTCTCCTTGGGCTGTGTGTATCCTTGCGTGGCAGAATCGTCTTATCGTTTAAGCTCCGCCCAATTCATGGCCTTCTCCGCTTCCCCATTGCGGTCAAGGCCAAGGCGAGCTTCATACATCCCATTTCCATCTATCTTTTCATCTTTTTCAACCTCCTTCTACTCTCTTTTCCATTCTCACATCTCTTTCCCTCCAGATTGCCTGGACTTGTGCTGGGCGATGGTGCCTCTACCGCGTCAGCCAAGATCGCGTCGCACGTGGCCCGGGCCAAGCATTGAGCTCCATAGGTACGCCGCCACGCCCAGCCGTCGGGTGGGAGGGAAGCTGGGTCAGCTCAGGATTACACTTTACCGCTATCAGCCGCCTTTGGCGGTGTATGTAGACTAACATTTTGCCGAAATGAAGCACCCCTACTTCTCCTTGTACATGGCGCATCGTCTGGGCCACATGAGCTAACCCTCTTCCTCCCCACTCCACAGAGCGCGGTCGAACTCCGGTCATAGACTTGAGCGGCAGAGGAGCGACAGAGCGAGTCTTGAGTTGTCTTTACTTTTGTAGCCAAGGTATGTGCTTCCCACCTATGTGTCTACGCGCGCTGGAAGAGGAAGGATTGCTCAGGATTACACTTTACCGCTATCAGCCGCCTTTGGCGGTGCATGTAGACTAACATTTTGCCGAAATGAAGCACTCCTCTTTCTATGTGTCCATCTTTACATGAGCTTCTGTGATGCACCGATCGGCCTGACATTCTCGTTTCGCTCATCACAGGTGTGTTAGCTTGCACCGCGACTGCTCGACTTCTCCAACGGTGCCCTTGAGCGTCCCTTCAGTGGTACGGCCTCCCAGACACCCTTTTTCTTTTAAGTCGGCGGGCGTGCGGGGGGGGGTGCACCTGATGACACCTAAACTTTCATGCGCGTAATCTGATGCGTCGCGCTCCTAGCGAGGGCGGAGTTTTTCTTCCCTTGCACATGGGGCGCTTCGTGCAAGATCACACCTCATTTCTATCTGAAACAACCCCCTTTCTCCGCCTCGCCTCGCCAGCGTTCATCGCGTACTCTCCACACTCGCGTCTCCTCACCCACCCCTAACCCAGCCTTTCTCACGACAGACCACTGGCGCCAGCCAAGCTCGCACCTCACTGACTCGCGCATTGCGGTAACTGTTCGAGCTGGCTCGGTGCCACGCCAACGTACGTTCTTCCCCTCCCCCTCCCCTTCTCTTTTCGTGGCCGTTATGATGTTAAACAATAGTATCACTTCGGACTGATCTTTCTGATGTTACTTCGTCAACCCTGAACTTCTGCCACACGAGCACCCCCTTTTTTTCATCATCATCAACGCCCGCTTCTTTCTCTCTGTACTTACATTTCTTATCTCGTACAGGAGTGCGCACATGAACCTTCGTGGTGTCCCTTCCACGCGTGCACCAGCCGGGACCAACGAGTGGTTGGCGATCAGTTAGAGGAGCTGCCGCTGCTCACCACAAAACAATAAAGTGTTCCACCAGCCATGTTCATTCTTTTTGGCTTGCAAGAGGTGAAGCCTTGTTGAACGCTTGTGGGTCAGAGAAAAATAATCACAGCGCCCTTTAGACCGCGTTGCGTTCCTCCTCGTCCGGCAGTTCGGTGGTGGCGGTGCTGGCCTCTTCATCGTCGGTTTGGGCTTCCACCACCAGGGGGGTCAGGCTGGGCGTGGTGTCGACGAGGGCCTTCCATCGCGGCAGTATCTGTTCCAGCTTCTTCTCCGGCATCCCGCCATAGAACGCCCTGGCGCTGCCTACTCGGTCCTTCTTTCTCGCGAAGAGGTAGTCGGCGACAACGTTGCTGCACGGGCGAAAGGTGAGCTGTGCTCTGTTCTGGTGATGACCACCAAACAAGAAAATAATATAATATAATATAAATAAATATAATATAAATAAATATAAATAATATAAATTATTAAAAAGAAAGAAGTACCGAGTGCGGCACGCGTTGGCAAAGTCTCGCTCATTACCGATCCCCTTCAGCTCCTCCCACGCGCTCTCCGCCTGGTTGCAAAGCTCGTCGAACCTGCACAGGCGCCGCACTCAGTCCGACATGCAGCTGCGGTGGTCGAGCAGGCGATCGCCTTATTACATTCTTAGACGTCGTACCTTTCCTTGACCTGGTTGTAGAGGGACGTCCACTGGGGAAAGTAGGTGAGGAATTCGCCGCCCTCGTTGTGTCGCACAATATCCAGCATTCTCCGCTTGTTCAGCGCACTCTTGTCCTTGCGCGTCAGATGGGCCAAAGCTACGTACAGCGGACTCTTGATCTGCATGTCGCGTGTACCACAACATACGACACACATGACACACGACACACACGACACGTTAGCGCTACACCGCACACGCACACGCTTGACGTTGGGGCACACACGCACCTTCAATCGATTGAAGCGGTGGTCGCACACGACGAACCCCTCACGGAAGTGCGGGTTGATGCCCTTGGCAGCCTCGGTCACCTCGACCAGGCTCTTGAACTCGAACCTGCCCCCAACCGTGTGGTGCACCGCCGGTTAGGGCCCCCTTTTGGCCCCCCCCCCCGGGGCTCATGCGGCGCCCAACATATATGGGAGGAGGAGGCCCTGGCGTACAATTGGGGCATGCGCCAGCCGTATCGTTCGGCAAAGATGGCGGGGTCCTCTTCCTGCAGTGTTTGCATATTCCTGGCATTCCACACCATTCACTCCGTCAGCGCACACGACACACAACAACGATGACGACGACGACACACAACATTTACAATCAAAGTAAAAGTGCGTACCTGGCGCCGGTCAAGAGGAGTAGTTCCTCCTGGGGAGAAACGATGATCCTGTTCTCGGCCGAGAAGAGTTCGAACATGAAGCAGTAGTGCTGGTGCTCCTCCTAATAAGAATAATAATACATAAATAAAATAATATAATAAGTATAATAATAACTATTAGTTTCGAAAGACTTGACTGGGCCGAAGCCGGGTACGAGTACGTCGGGCAGGGTGTAGTTCATGGCCTTCCATGTTTGCCAGAACAGATCGCGGAAGAGCTTACGGTTGGGGTCCGACCTGTCCGTTCGATAGACGACCCTATCATTGTTCGACACGCGACAAGTAACTCTCTGTTCAGTTCAGAAGCCCGCACACGCACACGCACGCGCACCACCGCACACGCATACGCACCACTGCACACGCACCAGGGGGTCACCGCACGTACCCTCCGCCATCGGGTCTGCCCGACGAAGAAACGTGCCAGTCGCCCTTGTAGTAGTACAGCGTGGATAAGCTGCCGTCGACTACACGCTTGGCGCCCAACACAAACACAAACGGTGAGAGGTGCTGAATGATGAGAACAGAATGAAAAGAGAGAAACACACACCTTTGTCCATCACCCGCACGGGCTTGCTCCAATCGACGTCGGCGCCGTTCGACTCGCCGTAGTTGAAGAACTTGAGGAACGGCATCGCCACTGGTCGCTGCGCACGTCACATATTACATTTATGTTAATATATTTTTATTTGTTTTTTATTATTAAAATAGTAATACAACAATATCCTGGGGCGTAAGTACCCAGTCGTCATCTTTATCCACGATGAGGCCACGACACTCTTGCACCTCCACAGCGTCGAACGGCGAGTCCACCTAAAACAATGGCATACAGTTTAAATAATAATAATAAAATTATAATAATTATCAACATTTAATAATTTAATTTATTAATAATTGAGGGAAAAAGCGTGTGCGTACTTGGTCGTACTTGAAGAGGACCAGGTTGGGGTGAGCACCATGGCAGCTGCTCAGGAGGCCGAATTTCTGGGTGAGCGCCTCCAGGCCTTCCCTGCGCAGGAAGCGAACCGTGTGCAACTCCGTTGTGCTGCCGGGGGACTCCATCGGTGTGCTGAGAAGAAGAAAAAGTCGTACCTTGTGTGTGAGCTTGGGGAGCTTGTGTTTTCCTGATTTGTTTTTTTATTTCTATCTGATCTTTTTCTCAGAAGACATGAAAAGAATACAAGACGGAGGCCTCACGGCAAAGTGGAGACCCGCGCGAGGGCTCTTGGACTCGCAGCTGGCGAGCGTGGTGGACGATTCCTGGCGGGCGACCAGGCCACCCCCGTCTACGCCGCCAAGGTGATCCTCATCGCACGCTCGCCCGTGTTCCGGGCTCTGCTCAACGGCAGCTTCCGCTAAGGCCTGCCCACCACCGCCTCATCATCGTCTTCTTCATCGTCCATGTCCTGATCTACGCCAGCCTCGCCTTCGCTCCCGCCCGTGTTCTGGCACAGCGTGGCAGTCCCCGACCTGGAGCCGCGCGCCCTGCGCCACCTGCTCCACTGGTGCTACACCGACGCCCTGCACCCCGACATGTCCGGCCCCAAGCGACGTCGATCATCCATCCGTGCAATCCCAGTCCGAACGCGACCTGGTCCACCTCTACGCCGCGGCCGATCGCTACCTGCTTGCGCAAAGTGCACCAGAGATCTGCCCGCCTGACAATCTCGTTCGCCTCTCGATGAACGCATTGCAGAAGAAATTGAAGCAGAAGAAGAAGCAACAGAAGAAGGTGATGATGAAGAACAAGACTAAAGAAAAAGAATCGTTGTGGCTGGAGTGCTCACCACACGGCGTTTAGGTGGGAGTGGGGCGGGAGGCGCGAAGGTGTTCGAGGGCCTGGTCGTAGAAGGCGTGCCAGTCGTTGGGCGGCACCTGCACCTGGTGCACGTGGACGTCGTAGGACCGGAGCAGCGCGCACTTCCTGCGCTCCGGTTCGGTCGTCGCGAGAAACGAGGGCGTCAGGTACGTGATAGTGTTCTCGATCCGCAATCTGCAGCGATAACAGGTCAAACGGGCACAGCGCGTCGTGTGTGTGTGTGTGTGTGTGTGTGCGTGCGTGCGTGCGTGTGTGTGCGTGTGTGTGTGGTGTGTGTGGTGTGTTCTATTGGTGTGCAGTGACATTGCGACGCACTTGTTGCCCGAGATTTTGGTACGAGCTCTGAACACAAAGAGCCACCACAGGTGCAGCTCCACCATGTCCATTCCGTGCCCCAATATGTACAGATCTGCACATATTGGGCCAGGGCGAGTGTGACCGGCCGGCAGCCGTGGTGCGTTAGTCGCGCATGCATGTCGACAGAAACGGGACTCGCGAGCGTACCGGTTGAAAAGAACAGGTCCACCCACGAGATAACGTCCAATGGCTCCTCTTGGGCTGCAACATATGAGAAGCTGTGTTAGCAACCACATATGTGTGCTGGGCGCTGTAGATGAGGGGTTTGATCGTGGACGTGGTGGACGTGCCTGACTGCTTGGTCTGCTTGGCCACTCGACGCACGAGCGGCCGGAGCGTGCCGTTGTACTCTGGTGGCAGCGACTGGTAGGCGAGGCCGTCCACCACATACCCGCGCACCTTCTGCAATTCCTCACAGCATTCATGTTATGTGTGTGTGTGTGTGTGTGCCATTGTGGACGGCACTCGCGCCACTCGCCTCGACGACAACAAGGAATGTACATTCAAATACGATGCATAGTGTTCGTAGCCGAGAAGCATCGTGCTGGGCTTCATCGCCTCGCCATGCAGATGCCACACGCTCACCTTATCATCGCTCCCTGGAGTCGGTTGAGTTGAAAGAATGTTACAAATGTGCTCATCATCAATGTACATCATGGAGTGGAGTGGAGTGGAGTGGAGTGGAGTGGAGTGGAGTGGGGTGGGGTGACCACCACCTTCCTTGAGCGGCACCTCGTGCCGTCGAAAGAGGGAGTGAACCGTTTCGTTGACGAACGGCACCCGCTCGACTGGGTCCAGCTGACCTGCAATGAACGTTTGTTTAGAGTGCACTGATGATCATGAAGCAATTCTGGTGGTGGTGATCAAAGAGGGAATGAACCGGTGCAGGCTTCTTCGAGGTTGTAGTCGTAGTTGGTGGTGAGGACGTGGCGGCAGCCGCTGGTGGTCATGAGCCGGCGGTGGAAGTCGTTGGGCCGCAGCTGCCGCCGGACCATGTCGGCGATGACGCCCTTGACCTGCGGCTCCTTCATCCCCTTCGACCGGTTGCGTCGCATGGCCGCGAGGTAGAGCTCCTCGTAGACCATCGAGAACGGCTTGTCGGCATCGAACAGGATGTCCCGTTCATCATCGATCGTCAGCTGCACTCCTGCTCTCGACATCTCTGAGATTTCTGTGATTTCTGAGATTTCTGTGATTTTTGTACGCGTTCGGATCGTTCTTGAAGATGAAGAAGAGATGGACGTAGCAGAGGATGATGTGAACGACTTCAGGGGGTAGGAGACGAGAACGGATGACAGGTCGTGCAGCAAACAGGCCCAGGAGAGGTGTCCGGTGAGCAGGTTGGGTCCATTGCCCACCAACACCGCCTTGTCTCGCCCCTCGCCCAGCTCCTTCCACACCTTCCGGCCACTCCTCATCCTCTCGTCTGCGAGGTGTTTCAAAGGGCCTGGAATTCAGTTGGTATTGGCCAAACATTTATTCCTCATTTATTGAAATATGTACAACTAAGTATCAATATTAAAAATATATTCTCCAAGGAATGCAGAATATGCGACGATGCCATTCCGCCCGCATTCTTGGAAGAGAATCAGGAAAAAGGCGAAAAAGTAAAATAAAAGATAAAAAAACGACACACAAACAAGAAGATGGAAGAGAAGAGGCCTCACCTGGTCTTGCATTTCGATGTAAACAAGACGCTGGTGATGATGGACCCCGCTGGTGGCAAGGGAAGCGTGGAGGAGATGATAAGCGACCTCCTCTCCGAGATTGCCTACGGCACCATCTCTGACGGTGCTGCGCCCCCCCCCTTGAGCCCCCAAAGCAATACATGATCTCCTTTTTTTCGGGGCTGACCCGCGCCACGGCAGACGGCGAGTGGCGCCCAGAGCCTGACCACCTCGGCACCACCAACACTCCGCCGCCGGACCATCCCCACCGCGAGTCCCTCATCAACTACTACGATTTTCTTGTGGTGCGCACCGCACGCACACACCGCACACGCACGCGATCTGACCAATCAATCGTTGAAACGTACAGCGCAAGTTTGCGGCGGACAAGCCGCACAGGGACCGGTTGCGCGCCCGGTTCACTGAGGCCGGAGAGCCAGGCGCGCCCTTCCGCCCGCACTACGACACGTTCCTGCGGGCCATGCGCGCCGCCGAGTGGGAGTCGGCGGAGCCCTCTGTTGTGGACGACGACGCTGCGCCGGCCGTGCCCGCGCCTGCGCCGCAGTATCACTACATCCTCCCTTCGTTCCTGCACCTTCTCAAACACCTGAAAGAGAGCGGCCTGTACACCTTCACTCTCGTGTTCCGCACGTTCGGACAGGACTTGCCTCACGTACCCCCACCCTTCTCCTCCTCCTCCTCTTCTTGACATGGAAACTGACGAGCTCGTTGTGGACCACACCGCACACACCGCACACACCGCACACACCGCACACACCGCACACACTGCACACACCGCACACACCGCACACACCGAATGGCATGTGTGCAGCTCACACAACACTTTGACGAGTTCTGCGAAGGCAAACATCCGCTGTACCGAGGCTTTGTCATGGACGGAAGCGACGGCCAGCCTGACTACCGGGTATCGCCCACCACCGCGTCTCTGGCCTTTTGGCCTCCCTCTCTCTTCTATCGGCTCACTTCATCTTCGCTGGCGTGGTTCCCTGGTCGCGCGGGCGAGAGAGCGCAGATACAACACAAGACAGGCCAGCACGGCACGTTCTTCCGGCAGGGTCGGGAGAAGCACGAAACGCACCTGGTGCTGGGTCTCTGGGACCAGGTGCGCGCCCCTCTTTCTCTTCTCTTCTGTTTGGGCAGGAGCAGCCGTCGGTCCACTCCCCACCACAAGAAAATTTCCTAAACACACCCCACCCGTGCTACTATGTGCCCAGGTGCCCAATACCACCAAGCTCGAGGAATGGGAGGGGAACGTGAGCACTCTAGAATTCTACGAGGGTACTAAAAGCTGCGCTCACCGCACGCCCTTGTTCAAGCCTCTCACTCTTCGTCTTTTTTTGCTGCTGCTTGCTTTGCAGGGAATGAGCGCGTGAAGAAGGTGCTCACGGGATTCGACGCCATCCACGATCACATCCACAGTGCGGGGCAGTGCACACTGGCGCTACGTGACTATTTTCCGTGGTACAGACGCACATGCACGCACGCCACACGCACTTATTGAAGCTGATGAGGGCACACAAAACGTCAGGTGGAGGGCCAACGCTGATGCTTCGTTCGCGGGCAAGCTGTTCACAGTAGACCAGAACGAGGCAAGCGCACACGCCATTTTTTTCGACGACAACATCCACTTCAACGGCAGTGCGTGCCTCCCTCCCTCACAAATACTCTCTTTGCTCTGTCTGACTTAATTGTTTGCGGCGGCCAATTTCGAACACACAAGGTCAGCCAGAGTGGATGAACATCGTGGACCTGCGCGATAAGGGTGCGTGTCGTGTCGTTGGTCGTGTCGTCTGCGTGTCATGTTGTGCCGTGTGTCCTGTGTCGTGTGTGGATTTGCTGATGAGGGAGGCTGTTCAGAATCGGGGGCGCCGCTGGCCCTCAGGGACCATATCGGGCGGCACCTGGTGAAGGTGGAGCCGGCAGAGGCTATTCGTGATGTGGAGTACTACCGACGCGCCGTCACGGCCTGTCTGGTGCCTTGAGCAAGCACCCAGCACCTTCCTAAGCTATGTTATTTATTTGTTTTGAATATGTTCGAACACGACGACGGTCAAGACTGCCAGTTCGTGTGGGTGGCAAGCTCGCTGTCGGTTACTACTCCTTGGAGCCGAGCTCGCGGTGGATCTCGGCGATGGCCTCGTCCACGATCTCCTGGAGGGGCTCGTAGGGATGCAAGAACGCGTTCACCGCTTCGTTGTTGGCCTTGGCCGCCTGGGTGTTGTCGTCGTCGATAAAAGTGTTGTGTCATGTGTGTGTGTGTGTGTCGTGCGTATGAACGTACCGTGATCCACTCCTCGCGCGACACCTTGCCAGCACTGCCCACGGCAAATGTCTTGTTGAGCATCTCCTCTCGGATCTCCTTCTTCATGGTCTTGAAGCGCATTTTCTGTGTGTGGCGGTTGGGGCGTTGACAGTCAGGTCCGACCTGAGGTTGCGTGTAGAGCCGGGTGGAGGGTGTTCATACGTATTCCTGCGCGGCGCCAAGACGGACGGGTGCGAGTGGCAGAGCCTTCTGGTTGAACAGCTTCTCGCCCACGTTGAGCATGTAGTCGATGTAGCTCGACAAGTCGTCCTGTTCGAGCACGCAGCACATGTTTCAGACACATGAAGAGAATGATGCACTTTTTAGAATGCTAGCTCAATCATATCCCGCGTGATGTAGCCTCTCTCCTGTCTGTCAATGGACTTGAACACCACTTTAGGTGCCACCAGCGGACATGACGTGTGAGCAACGGCTACTTTCTTTTTGAGTAGCGCTTGTGGTGGGTGAGTGGGCAAGCGTACGTTCGGCCTTCTGCTCGGTACCTCCAGTCGCAACGATGGAGCATCCCACCACGAACTCGTAGGGATCGACTGCCCCACACAGATCGAGAGATGGAATCGATGAGTTTTCTTACGTTTTTTTGATTGACGGGGCGCGAAGACCAGCCCTTGGGGGAGCACGTACTGAGACCGTCATGGGTAGTATCAAAGATCTGGAAGTAGAGGTCGGCAGCTTCGGGGGAGAAGGCAGGAGAATCGTAGAGGTGCTGTGTGTCGCTAAGCACCTGCTTGAATGTATCAAGACCGATATGAGTGCCCGTGCCTCCGTGCTTCGTGAAGGCCGCCAGCAGCTCCTCGGCCTCTTCAATCGACACCTGAGTGCGCTGGGCCACCTCGCTCGCGCTCACCGATTGCGTAAGCCCCATCTTCTATCTTGTTCTTTATCCTCTTTTTTTTTCACGAATTCACATTTCCCAGCTTCTTATTTTCCTTAATAAGGCACGACACGTCAGCAAAGGTTGGTGTTTGGTGTTTGGTGTCTATCGTTCATCTTGTCGATCAGGTTGTGTTGCAGTTGGCAATCTGTTGCAACTCAATGCAAATCGTCGCGTTCTCGGAACTTGCTTGGTGCTGTTGGCTGGCTCTACGGGGGCAAGCGGCGAAATTCTGCCCAAGCCTTGCCCGGAGCTCTGGGCTGATGGCGTTGTTGACAACGGACCGACATTCGCCCACGCATCTGGGCTCCCACTATAACGACTCATAATCGCACACACACGCACCACAGCACACACCAGACATGTGGACCAGGAGGCAGGACTACACTGACAACCCGAACAGGGTCGACGCCGAGCATCGCACTCTGGAGAGCTTCAACGAGCGCAAGGAGTGGGACCCGACGAGCGCGCCTAAGGCGGCGTCGGGCGACAACCTCGACTACGAGTGGGACCGTAAGACGAGAGGCAGAAACGACCCCGCCATGTACGACAGCCGGGCTCAGCGTCGAGGCGTCGACGACTACGATGAAGATGAAGACGTCAACGAAGAGGATGATGAGAGGCTTGATGAAGATGAAGATGAGTACGGCGCCTATGACGAAGAAGGCGCTGGGTACAGGAACTGGAGGGCCGACATCAAGGCGAGCCCTGGCGTGGGGGAGCTGGGCGAGGAGAAGCAGCCCAGGAGCGTTGGTGACACCACCTTCACCGACATGAGCTGGCGCGACGAGGAGCGGGCCCTCGGCTCGCGGCGCAACGAGCGCACCGACAAGCTCTACGAGCCCCCCGCCGAGAAGAAGAAGACGATGAAGAAGATGAAGATGAAGAAAATGAAGGCTCCGCCGCTCAAGGAGAACGAGGAGCAGAAGGTCGAGGCCGAGCGCGAGTGGAAGAAGCAGGGCAGGCCGGAGAACGTGCACGTCGTGTGCGTCGACGAGACCAAGGACTCGCAGCGCGCGTTCAAGTTCGCGCTACGCAACCTGCCCCCGGATCACAGGCTGGTGCTCACCCACGGGCTCTACGAGGGGCTCCTCGGCCACAACCGCGCCGACGAGGCCCGCCTGCGCCGCGTACGCAACAAGTACCTACAGGCCTGCTCCGAGCAAGGCGTAAGTCATCACCCATCCACCATGACCTGTTTCACGCACACGCACACACCACAGCACACGCACACGCACGACCGCACACACATCACCGCACACGCAATGACCACACGCACCAACAATTCAACAGAGGAACTGCACGTTCAAGCATATCCACTTCACCTCGACGGGCAACTTTGGCGAAGAGGTGTGCGACCTGGCCGAGAGGGCGCACGCCCAGGTGCGCTTCTGGACTCACTTCTTTTTCTCTTTCGGCGGAAGACTAGTAGCGAGAGTCGCCATTGGTCCATTATTGACTTTGAAGCAACATAACGTGCGCAGAGCGTGCTGGTGGGCAAGAGGACCCACGTCTCGGGCGTGAGGAGGGCGCTGGCCGGCTCCTCCTCCAGGAGCGTGCTCGAGGCCTGTCGCGTTCCCGTCAGCATCGTCTTCAAGGGCGAGAAGGGGCTCGCCACCACCGGCAACTGGTAGCTCGCTCGAACCACGCCATCGGCCCAGAGGCCACCCGTCCAATCACCACCTCGCACATAAAACACCACCACGCACATAAACACCCAAATCAACTACCAGACCATGTTGTCATAGCATATCTTTTATATGATCATCATAGCGTGTAGAAAAAAGGTGGGTGTGGGCCGCTTGATGGCGAATCACGCGGTTGTTGGGGGTATTGGGGTCCAGGGGGATCCTGACCTTTCGGTCCGGCGATTTGTTGATGAAGCAGAGTTTACTCTCTGCGTTGGAGTGGCGGCCCGCCCTGTGCCTATGCCGGCACGGGGCGGCCCGGCCTGGGAATTGCGATGTATTGTATCGTGATTCGTCAACCTGCTCGGATGATAGAAGCGATCGGGCCTCTGGCTACTGAAACGTCATGGAGTCGAAGTAGCGTAGAACTCATCTTTGCAAGCTGACTGCCCACACCCGCTCAAGCAAACAAGCTCCACGCCCCACTTATGCTCTCTCTGGGGAGAGCAATGCTCGATTGTGGGACTGTAGATTAATTAAATAAGAAAGAAAAGCGAAAAGCGAGCATTTATCAACAACCAATTAAAATGAAGTGTTTGTCTCAGCCAAGGGACGCATTTCAGTTGGTCTGGACGAAGAGAAGAGCTTGCGCCTCCAGCCCGGCTTCTTCGATCGTGACGTCGTTCTCGGGGTGGGCCTGACGCGGATAGTTCGTCACCTGTTTTGGAGAAGAGATAGTACGGTATGTAAATAATAATATTTATTCATAATTAAATTGGCGTGTGTTGAGGGGAGAGCGCACGAGGTGGTACGAGCCCAGCTCAAGGCCAGCAGGTTCGTTGACGTCCACAAAGTCGTAAATGCTCTATGTCCACACGCACACAGGCGAATAAAATACATATTTTTAAATAAAAGAATGAATAAATAAAAGAATGAATAAATAAAATCAACAAATAAATGGGAAACAGTTGGACCAGGCCTGGCCTTGGGGGGGGGTTCGGTGCGCGTACTCTGATCGTGTCGGACACGCGGAACCTGCGGGTGAGACGCGAGCCGTCGGGCAGGCGGATCGCGATAGTGTATGCGCGCTCGCCTGCGAGCCCCCGTGGAGCAGTGGTGAGTCCAATGTACGATCGCACCGACACGCGCAAGGGGCGGAGGGCGTACTACCTTCGCGGGGCTCGGAGGGCAGGCGGCTGCGCTTCCGGTCGAGCTCGTTCTGGCGGTGGATGGCCTTCCGCTCGGCCTCCTCGCGAACGCGCCTCTCTTCCTCCAGGACTTGTCGCTCCTCCTCGAGCCTCTGCCGTTCCTCCTCGCGCGCCCTCTCCTCCTGCAATACAACATTATTATGTAAATTAATTTACACACACACCACACGAAGGAAACAGGGCGAGCTGTGCGCGGGAGATCACCTTTTCTTGGTCGGCGCGGAGGGATTCCTCGTAGGCCATGTCCTGCTCCTGTCTGATCAGGCGATCCATTTCCCTCTCCTCGCTGCACGGGTTGGTGTGATAAAAAGCCGGGTTAGCTGCAGCTCAGGACCACCTGACAGGTGCCCATCTAACGCGTGCTGCGTGCGTGCGTGCGTGTGTGTGCAAAAAAGAAATGAGAGGCGGTACTGAGCAGTGCGTGCGACGACGAGTTCGGGTCCTCGGTTCTCCAACACGTTGGTGAGACGCCCCATCAGCTCCTCCGGACCAATCGGGCCTGCGCTTGCGGCGGTTAGATACTGCCAAAAGGAGAAGCGAACAGAAAAGATAGGCGAACTGGCCCAGCATTCAAGTGGCTTAGTGTCGCGTTACCCTCGATGCGCTCCAGCAGTTCGACGTTTCCGTCGACGTTGGTCAGCACGCAGAAGAACGGGAACGTGGTGGCGCCCACCATGTAGCTCACCCGGAAGGGC